GGTATAAATCACTTTTAAGGAGCATAAGATGGAGATGCAATCCCCAGCTGGCGAAGAAGAACACGAACTTGTAGCCGCATGTCTTGGCAAAGGAGGTGGTCTCGAAGATTACAAAGTGACTATCCCAAAAGCTTTTAATATCTATGACCTGTGAGCAACTTGACCGTTCAGAATAATAAAGTACAAGTGGAGTTATTCGAAAAACAAGGGAATCGGCGGCGTGAATACATTACTAAAGCCAGATCTTCGATTGAAAATATACGAACATTCGTTCAGAATGATTACTGGGTAATCGGAACACATCGAACAGGTAAGAAGAAGTCTCTGTTTCAGCCGAAACAATTTTCAGTTACCCTAAATATTTCCTTGAAGAACTGAACACGCTTCGAAGAGATATGGATTTTGCCAAGGCAGAACTGAAGGCAGCAAAAGATGCACAGTTGGTTGGCATAAAGAACCAGCTCTACAATCTGGCCGTAACAGCATTCGAAGAGAAGCTCAAACAGGTCAGTCAAATCAGGTTATATTGATTCCTCGGTAATACCCATACCTTCCACTTCCCCATATAACCGCACTATTTCTCTTATTCATACCAGAAAAGGGTCAGAAAATCTGACTTCTCCCAAACGGCTTTATACGGTCGGTGCCTCTGTTTCTGGACGTTGCTCCCCCCCCACCTTACCTATACCCGGACGTTTTGGATGAAGTGCACGAGGCTTTCGTTCAAGAAATATCAAGAACAGGTTTCGGAAGGATTATAGGAAGGCTTTCGTTTACCTGAGAGACCTTTGGCAATCCCGCGCAGAGCGTAAGCTCTGCAACAAGAGGTCCCACCCGCGAAATAGGTGCTCTCTTCACGAACCCAACAGTCTTGGCACTACTCCAAATCACTGAACGAGGAAAGAAATGTCTTAAAGGCAGTTGGCACGATGAATTGCTAAGACGAGTAGGTAATACGCCTGGCAGGGAATTCTGCAACCCTGAGCAGTCGCTGCATAGTTTCCCCAAGGAAGGTACACTTATATGGCCCTATAAAGCTACAACATACCGACCGGACGCCCACCACGCCCGCCCACAAATGGACGACCGTACCTGATGCTCGTATTGCTTCATTTGCTAAGTAAAATATGAAGCGAAGGGATTGGTATGAAGCGGCTGCGGTGCTGCATGGATATATGAGTACATACATGTGCAGCCGTACCTACCGTAGCGGTTATTGGCAAGATGCCTACGGGAAACATTGCTTTTCGAATCATCAAGAAAGAAAATTTCCTTCGCAGGTTTTTGACCGTTTCACTTCGTTTTTTCGCCATTTTGCCACTATGTAGCACCCTGCTAGCATTTTGGGCACCAAAAAGTACCAAAATATCGTGCCAACTGCCTTTAAATACAGTGGGCACGATTGTTGGGGGTGGGTGGTTGTTGCCAGCTTCACTGCTGGAAGGGCGTTGGCCATACACCCCCCTCCCCTCCCGCCCGAAAAGGGCTGGGCAGTTTGGCCAAACGATCTCTTCA